ATGTATTTTCATGAAGTTTACATATGTACATGCCTTCTTCATTTGTATTTTGCAAAGATGTATTTATGCATATAAGAACTGAAGTTTAAGTCAGAGGTACGGGGGTGGGAGGATTCACCAGAGACAGAGTGGGAAGCAGAACAGGCAGATCTACTGAAGTATACTGCTGAGGGGAGTAGTGGGTCCCCCCTTCAGCACCTCTGGACTGTACCCCCATTCTTGGATGCATAAATAAAATAAAAATGTAACCGCATAAACAGTGTTTTATTTGTCTGATTTTTATTTTTCCTAGGTGGTATAGTTGTATGCTGGGAAAGAAGTGTAGCCTGGCTCCTCTGAAGGAAGAACTTCGTGTACAAGGGGTAAGGCCATCATTACTATACTGGTATACTACTTTTAATGGTATTTGGAGTATAAAATTTTCCTTTATACACTAAAATTCTGTTCTTGTTTGTTTTATTTTTGCTTGTTTACCTTTGTGATTTTACAATTAAAAGGGGCTTTTAATAAAAAATTGTTAGAGCTATTTGACAATTATTACAAAATAGGCAGGGAAATCAGGATTAGAATGCCAGAGAATCAAGTAACCAGAAATCAAAAACCTGGTGTCTACCTACCACTATCCCCACATTTGACTCCTTTATAACTGTACAGACTAATGGCAACCTGAGTTAAGGGTGCTTGTTCCAGGTCACAAATCTTAGTTTTCAAAGAACAGCTAGAATCAAAGCATAACTGAAGTTTAGTGCACTTCCTGTTATGGTGAATCACATACAGAACACATATATATAGTTGTGCGACTTGCTTCTGTTCCTTAAAAGCAGGTGGCACATAGATTCTTCCCACCAACCCTTCTTCCAGTTTATGTTTGTCATGAAGAAGTTATAAGTAGGAGGACTTTTCAGGCAAAAAGATTACATGTGCATTTAGTGATAGAAGCCAGGTTTTTGATTTCTCTATTTGCTAACACCTTTGCTTTGTTAAAATTGTAATAGAGTAATTTAAATTTTCTTTCTTAAGGTCTGATATAAGGATGACTACATAGCTGTGTTTAGCCAGTCATGCTGGCTCTCTGTCTTAAAAAAGAAAGGAAGGAAAAAAAAAACACACACTTGAATCATTTTACCAATTATTCTCTGAAGACCTTTTTTTTGGTATTGGTTTTCTTATGTTTTAACCTTCAAGCTAGAACTGGAAATTCCCTCCAATGATTTATGAAAAGAAAAGAATATATAGCTTTCTTGGGAAATTAATTCATTGATTATTACATAGCTGTGCATTACTGTTTTTGGATTGTAACATTTGTTAACTAGTAAAAGGAAAGAGTAGTACATAATTTTCTATATGGCATCAGCCAGCAGCATACTAGTAGAGTGATTTCAGTCAGATAAGATTTTGTGTTTATTGGTTTCAGGTTCCTAAAGTCACATATACTGAATTCTGTCAAGGTCGGACAATGAGATGGGCTTTAGCTTGGAGTTTTTATGATGATGTAACAGTACCAGTAAGTAGAGAACTTGCATCAGCTTCTCCAAATGCTAACACTTGGTGGATTTTAATAGTCAAATGATCTAAATGTATACTGTCCTGTGTCCCTGGAGGTTGCCCCAAATGCTTATGTCGGTATGGAACATGATTGTATTCTAGGTTGGTTGTTGTTTTTGTTATTTTGGTGGTATATATTTATACTATAGTATTAATCTCCAAATACTTGATTTAACAAATAGTCTGTTTTAAATCCCTTAAATTGAAACAAAACACTTCTCCCAAAGCTTTGATTCAGTTTGTGCTAAATCAGTTTAACTGATTTGAATTATACATACAAGAACTGTGGTACAGGCCAGAGGTGCAGAGGGTGAAAGGATTCACCAGAGACAGAGTGAGTAGCAGAACAAGCAGATCTACCGAAATATACTTCTGAGGGGAGCAGCAGTCAAGACAGGAGAAGTCTGCTGTGCCATGTGGATCAGCTCCCTGGCCAGGGATTGAATTTCTGCTGCAGTGGCTTCTGATAGCTTTAATGTGCTTTGAACCCTTATACCACCAGGGAAGGCATGTGCAAAATCATTTTTAAAATTTGTGTCTTTGGAGCCTTTTATTAAAAAGTTGAAACATACACAACATACATTTACTTCATTTTTTAACTTGGCCTTTCAGTAAATCTGTTAGTGTCATTGATTATGGCTGGTATATAAGGAGATCCTCCGTTGTCTGGGTGATTTCAAACCATAATCTGTAGATGAGTATCTCTTACTTTTTCTTTATTGGCAGTAGGGCTTATGCCTAGTATTAATACAACTTCCTATTTTGTTATTTTGGCTTAAAATCCAACTCTGTAATAGCCACCATTTAAGGCAGATTTTGGAAAACATAACTGCAAATCCTGTGTCAGCAGTAATCAGTCCATCTGCTGCCACTGTACTGGCCATGGCTCCAGCTCAGCTTTTCTTCCTCCACGGAGAGCACAGTTCACCCTAGTCCAGAGATGATGGCCAGCAGACTCACTCACACCTGTACCAGAAAGTGACACGGGCTCCTGGAACATGATTTTAAATAAGTCTTGGAAAGCTGACTGTGGTGACCAGGGAGCCTTTCTTTGTGGGTTGTGTAGCAGGGATTCTTGCTCAGCAAACATCAATGAATTGGAAATTAATCCATTAGGAATTAAAAGTTCAGGTGGCATATCCCCTAGGCACACCTTGTGGGTATAATTGTTCTGTTGGCTATTCCTCGAGAATTAAAATTGAAGGCTGTTAACTTTTCCTTTAACCACTGCTGCTTCCCTATAGTGGCTGTCTCTTGGGGGAACATAGAAATGGGTGCAGGCTTTTGATGTATATAACACTTAGCGATTATTCAAATAAAGGTTCTATCTCAGCTTTAAGGTTAACACTAGAATATTGATCAGTTTTGAAGCTGGGCAATATGTCATTATCCTAGTTTCATATTCTTGAGCTAAACTCTTTCTATTTTAGAACTCTTAAAAAATGACTTTTTCTGCAAATTTCTTTGTTCTGTCTGCTGCTATATATCAAGTTAAAAATACTTCTGAACTAGTTAGACTGAATAATTTATCTGGACTGTATGAGAAGTGGTAATAGAATAGCATCAGTTTGTTCCCACATTTTCCTAGTTGTCTATAGCCTCCCACTTCAGGTTTATGCACACACTGCTCTGTACGTATGCCTTCATTTGATGTTTATGGAAACCTAGTACCTGGTCCTTCAGGTCCCTAGTCTTTCCTATAGTAGACTTGTGTCTTTCCCAGGATTTTGGCCTCACTTGGTCTCTGGAATTATCTTAAATATTGCCATGTCTGTGAACCTCTTCCCCCACTCTCACAAAGCAGAAATGAGACCTGTGCAAATGTACAAGGGGACAAATTACAGCTATTTCCAAAGACACAAGCTCAAATCTGAAACTGAGCCTGTCCTTCCAGTACTTTGCAACTAGGTGTGCTGCTGTGCTAAAATAAGTTTGAGAGACTTTGCCTTGCTAGACTTGCCCCTTCACAATTCAGCATCCTATCTAGAGGTTAGTATGTGAAATACTCATTGTTTAAAAAGTTGATTTTGCATTTTACTTCCCCAAAGAATTATCCCTCTGTTGTCTTCTAGAATGCACAGAATTGTTAAAATTATTAGTAATGGCATAGGTTGTCCCTATGCAGACTCTAATAGCTGCAGGAAAGTGGAGGTGCATCTGTTTTCAAATGCTTTCTGTTTCACTTGCCTCCCACTTCTGTTGGTACCACAGGTGGAAGAGCTGACAATGAGCTCTGGCGCTTTCCACATCATCTCAAAGGCCATAGTCGCCATTACCCTCTTGGATTACTGTTTAATAAGATCAGATATCAAAGGGCACTGTGTTTCTGTGTTATCAAAATCAGCTTATTTCTAAGCCTTCCTGCCTCCTCCCTTGTCTTTTCGGCTATCCTCAAGCCTGTTCCTTTCAGCCATTGTAGGATGCCTCTTGCTAAGGAAGTCAGGTTTCTCTCATGCCAGAGTACTCCTCCCTTCCCACCACTACCCCCAACCCAAAGCTGTTAATAATGTATTCCCAAGTGTTCCATTAGGTGCACTTAAAACTGCTACAGGGAAAACGGCAATTTCTGATTTGTGGTAACCCAGCAACAGTTTCTTAGCACTGGTGCCCTTGATCACCAGCTGCTTTCCTAGGGGCAGTCCCAAGGCACTCAGGAGGTTTTCAGTGTGCTGTCCTCTTCATGCTTCTTCTCTCTGCCTGGACTCCCTTGCTTTATGAAACACTCACCTGACTGTCCCCCTCTTGGTCCTGTTGTGGGTAGGGAAGAAGGAGAATACCGCTTTAGATGAGGAGAGGAAGCCAACAACGAGAGCTAGTTAAGCAGAAATATTGACCTACTTCCCCACACCACCTCCCATTCCTGCCTTTTAGGGTAAATGTGCAAGTTACTATGGCAACTCAAGCCCACTGACTTATTTCTGTTGGTACTGAATGCTGAAAAATTCTAATTCACTGCTGATTCATTTGTATAAACCCATTGCTCTTGTCTGGATCATTTTGAGCTATGAAAAGACAAGTCCTGGTGTTATTGGTATTTTTGTATAGTCATTTTTACAATCCTTGCAGATTGATGATTAATATAAGGAAACATGTTCTTTACAGAACTTGAGCAAGCCATAATGTCTTTGCCCCAGCTCCTCTCATTGCTTGAGGTGCTAATTAAGCTTTCCTTTGTTTTCAGCCGTTTTGTCACTATTAGAAAGAGAAGATAATGTGGATCTAGTTGTCCATCTGTATGAGTATTACCCAGAAACTAGTTTTAAAAAATTATCCCTCTCCATTCAAGACATTCCTTCAAGCCTGAGGCTTTCTTACCTAGGGAATAATAACTAGAAAGCTTTTTGGAGAGCAGATGGAGGGAAGGGGTCAAATTAATTAGGTAACCTTGTTAGTATAAGAACTGGGGGTCTCCTGACACTGCTCTACTTACTACGTAGATTTTCAAACTAATTCTAGATAGGTTAGGGATTTCATGTTCATGCCCCAGTGGATGACAGTTGGGGACAGATGTCAGGTTGGTACTTCAGCCCTCTCTTACTTTAAGCAGAGATTGTCTTTATTTATTAGTATCATGCATTGATTTCATTTGTTTAAAGCATTCTGCTATCTGAAATGATTTGAGGACCCTCCCTGGTGGTGCAGTGGCTTACAGCACAGCACTGTAAGCCAGCTGCAGCCGCTTCAGTATGCTCCATCCCCAGCCCCAGAGGAGATCCACATGGCACAGCAGACCTCTCCTGACCGGCTTGTTCTGCTCCCCACTCTTTCTAGTGAATCCTCTTGCTGCCCCTGTGCTTCTGGCCTGTACCCCAGTTCTGTATGAATAAACTTAAAAAAAAAAAGAAATTATTTGAAAACTTAAAATATACCAGTCTGTTATACATTATGCTAAGAAACAGATGTGATAATTAGGCAGCTGAACTTTGAACAAAACTAAGCGACTTCTTTTTAGTTTTCTTATAAGTGTGATTTTCATTGTGATAATACCATATAATTATGACACCATTTCTATCCTTGGATTAGTTCATGGGAGAGAAAAGCTTGAAATATTGATACAAAATTTTATATGAGTAAATACTAAGACATGAAACATAGGGATGGAAATATTGCTGAGCTAGGCCATACAGAACAGGAAGATGTGCAGACTGGGCTAGTTCAACATGACTTCCTGAAGTGGGATTGTTAGTATCTGACTGGTGCTCAGGAAAGATTTGTTGAGTATTATAAGGAATGATGTAGGACTTGTACTGAGAAGCAACAATGTAAGTTGGATATTAGTAGAATTGGTAGACTTGAACACTAATACAGTCTTCTTGTTATTGAATGTTTCATATACATTGTCATTTAAACTTGACAGTAATCAGTGAAGTAATTAGGTAGTATTATCCCCACTTTCTATATGAAGAAACTGGAGGCTCTAAAAAGGATGGAACTCAGATTAGTCTGATTTCACAACATAAGGTCTGATTTCACAACATAAGCTCTGATTTCACAAGAGTTCCTCTGATACTCTGTTATTCAAAATGCCCTGTTATATTCCAGCCTGGCAATGTACTAGTCTACTCACACGGGCCCTCATCATCTTGTTTATAGGCCATGTGTTAAGAGTCACTTGCACTTACCCTAAGCTCACCAATTCTACTCAAAAACTCGTGAGTGACTGTACTGCCGTGGTAAAGTATAACTCCTCGTATGGCCCCTTGGGCGTTCCAACTCTGTTCTTGACTTTACTTGCCACCTAATCATCTCCTGATTTCCCAGCTATACTATCTTAGAGCATATTAGTTTCCACGCATTTACCATGATGCCAAAGTCATAGCTGACTTTGTAATACCTTTGCTTATAGCCCTGCGGTCCTTCCTGTTGACTTTCTTCCAGGGCACTCCAACTCAGTTTCATCTTCTACATAAAGCCCTTCTAACCATTCAACTCATATAAACCTTTCCCTTCCTCTGGATT